CATCGATTCTCTCGAATTAGCGAAATCATTACTTGACCTAACTTTCCTTATTCTATCTTTTATTTCTTCTTCCTTGCCATCTCGTGTTTCAAGAAACAGAGAAACCCTCTTTCCCGTAAATTCCCCTTTTTCTAAATCCATCTCCCTTCGATTGATATCGTCGTCTACCTACTTCGATCGAAAATACAGTCCAGCCCTTCTGGATCCCCCATTTCTCGATTCTCCTTCTTCCACCATGAAAATTCGATCTCGATTCGAGCCCAAGAAAGATAATTCGAATCGTTCTGACGATAACTCAAACCCGACTAAAATGATTAACGCGTATAAACGAATTTCTTCACAAGGACTATATTTACTTTTACCCCTCTTTTATGAAAACGATTGTGTGTTTCTATCGTTTTATAAAAAGTATTGTAAATGATTATTGTCATCATCAAATAACCAGGGTAAATGAGAATAAGTATTAATATAAATATTCTATAATATGCATTTTTTGTATTTTATCTTTCTTTCACTTTATCTCGTCTACTTTAAATTGAATATGTTAGACATAGTGATATAAAGACGTGTACACATGCTTTATATCCTTTTGTGCAGTTCGATCAGGGTAAAGTAAGAAAGTTGGAATTTGTTAGACGGCTGGGAACCAAGACCATCGGTGGTCACGCTTCATTTCCTCGTGTTCAACTAGCCCTAACCGTTCTCGTCTCTTTTCTAAGTAGTCCGTAGCTCTTCCCTATCAACCTATCTTTTTCTTCTTTATCGTAAAAAAGAGAAAACTGTTTCGATACACGCCTGTAAGAACCTATAAAAATCACGCTTTCCCTTTTTTCCTCTCTCTCTCTCTCTTTCTCTCTGTCTTTATTTCACCTTTATTTCCTTTTTCTTTCTATCCTTTATTTTAGCAGGAGTCACGAAACGAGCGAGTTCCACTTTTCTTTCTTTACCCTCTCAAGAGCACCCTTTGCCTTTCTTCTCCCCTTTTGCCTCTCGCTAGCCAAAGCCACGAGTCGTATATTGGATCACGACGAGGGATAAATAGGAATCGTTCGGTCCTTCGAAAAAAATTAACAGAACTTCCTTTTTAATATTGGATACAAATACAAATTTACTATTTTAATACTATAATATTAATTTCCCCCTTCCCAGCTCTCGAAAAAAGATTATAATATTTCTGAAAACAAAAAGTATCTGATTTTTACTAAAAGGAATAGTTCTTGTAGCCTTAAAGTGTATAAAATTGCGTTCAGAAAAGTAATTTAGATTTCTAATCTTTTTTCCTTTCCATTTCTTTTATTATTATTTTATTATAGTAGTAATTGTCCAACAACGACACGTAAATGATGGTATATGCTTTGTAGTCTTATGCAAGGGAAAGCAAATTGTTAGCCGGTAAAGCAAACTGAAATGGATAGAGAGACAGATACAATGATAACGGATATATACGTGGATATGAAATAGAAAGAGAAAGGGAACCTTTAAAATCTCTTGCATCCGAACATGAGAAATGTCTACACAGAAGGTACATAAACGGAACAGAGAAAGTCCACACGAGAACAAGAGATTGGCGACTAAGCGTGCATAAAGCCAAAGCAAAGCCACGTTTGGTCAGTATTCGACGCACTATACGAATGTTTAATTACTCTCTTTTCATAGAGATACTAAATATCCAAGCGACTGTAAGATGACTACTTGGACGAAAAGAGAGAAAAAGAGAGAGAGAGAGAGAGAAAGAGAGATCAGTGTATGTATACAACATAGTCTAACATGCATATGAACGATAATTTCGAGTCTGCAGTTTGTGTTCAACCACGTATGTTTCATTAAAACTGAAGATAAAGTTCACTGCTATATCGTAATGTACTACTCTAATTTTCCACAACCACGAGTAAATATACCAGATGTTTCTCATTTTAAACGATATAGTCAAATAATTTCGATCCTATTGGTCTTGTAAGCAAATGTTACGAATAATAATAATAATAATAATAATAATTGCTACATTATGAGTAAATGTAATGTTAAACGTTAACTGGAATTAATTTGAATACAATGATTTTGCAAAAGGGATGCCTTTCTCAAGATACGAAAGAATTTTTAACAATTATTTTAAATAGAAATCTATATTTTAAAATTAAAAACAAGTATTAAGTGGAATATTATTAATTTTCTATTAATACTGATTTACGGCACTAAATTTGATATTAAATACAAACGAACAATATTATTTAATCAAGGATGAAAAAAATTAATCTGAAAATTCACGTTTCTATTCATTGAAAGGCCTTGAAATGTCCAAATGGTTCATCTCTTCTCTTTCCTGTCCGTCTTTTTTTATCATCTCTACGTCTAATACCCTTCACTTTAATTAGCCCTGTCAACCGGTAAACAATAAAACCTTATTTCTAACGAATTAATTTCGAACAATTCCGCGGGTTGGCTTTTAAGCGCGAGCTCATGGTAAACGCAACGGCAACGGCAACGTCGACGGCTTTTATTCCGCAGGGGTTTGGCGTCTCAAAACGTAACGAGCATCCCTTTCATGTAATACTATCTTCTTCAACCCTGTGCCTTCCCGGAATTCCTGGGACGCGAACCTTAAGCTCCCTGAGGATCCTCTCGATGCCATGTTCGAAAGTATCTCTCTCTCTCTTTCTCTCTCCTTTTATTTATGGACGTTAAAAATGAAATATTAACTTTGAGCCTTTTACGATTTTCCTTTCAAACTTCTTTATATTTTCGATATACTTTTAATGCTTAATTTTTATATCAACGAAGATACGATATTTCTAGTCGAATTATTCGAAAATTTCATTTTAATCCTTCCAATTGTTTTCTATTACAAAACAAATTTAATGAATTATATTGAATTTAGTAATAAATCTAAATTAATTACGAAGTTATATATTTTTTGTTTATTAGGTTTAAGTTATATGTAAAATTTATCGTTTCTCATCGAATTATGATGACTTGAAGTTTAATGATGTTTGCCTAAATAGACAGCACAGTAACTATTGTATCACAATTGCAGTTTTTATTAGAAACTTTGTTTAGAAAATCAATAAAATTGGAAATATTTCAAATAATATATCACAAGAGATTAAAAAAAGATCATTTTTATATATATTACAATTACAAATGCAGTTTATTCTAATCCCAATAACACGAACACGTATTTGATAAATCGAATTTCAAACGATCACGAAGATTAAGAGGGAAACGTAATAGGACGATGCAAATAGTAAGAGACGAGCATCTCTCTCTCTCCCTCTTTCTCTCTTTCTCTCTATCTCTATCTCTCTTATGACTCTATACAATCGTGACGACATTTGGAGGCTCCCTTCGGAACTTCGGAGAACTGTTTCCGGTCGCTTCCGACGCGGATATTCAGTTTGATGGTTCAAACCGGATATTCGACTGGTACTCTTACCAAGTGGTTGCACGATCTAAGGATGCACAAGTTGTATTCTGTAGAAGGAGGGAAAGGGATAGAATAATGGATCGATGAAGGTGGAAAGCCTAAGAGGAATTTCGAGAGAGAACAGAGAAAGAAAAAGAGAGAGAGAGAGAGAGAGAGAGAGACAGAACGGCTTATAGCACCGCAAGCAAGTAGCTCATCTGCATTTCAAATGACGAGCCGTACCGAATATACCTCTCTTCCTTTTCTATATATATATATATATATCTACCTATAACTGTGTGTGTATGTATATGTATATCACTACCTGGGCACCTGCAAAGTATACGGCTCCCTACGCTTTGTCCTCAAATACCGATCTGTCCCAATCCTCTTCTTTCGATACGATACGAATGTACAAAGAGGAGAAAGAGAAGCAGAGACAGGCAAATAAAAAGAGAAAGAGAGAGAGAGATAGATAGATAGAGAAATAAAGAATGAGAGAAACAGATAGAAAGACAGAGAGATAACATCACTTGCGGTCGAACCACTACAATGTTCTCAACCTACCCAGAGAAAAGGAATACCTGCGGATTTGTGGCTAAGCGATGGGCAATTGAAAGTGAACGGAAATCGTACTCTTAGATTGACCAACCATCGTTTAAATTAAATTAGGAAATGCTGCTGTGCTTTTGCCTAATTTACCTAGATTCATGTTGTTCTACGGTAAGTGTCGAAATTTAACGATTATTCGGTACGAAGAGAGAACTGTACAAATGTTAGAATTGACGTTAAATTTAAATTACATGGTTTCATTCGTCTAGGTAATATTTGAATTTGTTGATTATAATAGGAGGAAAATTCGTTTGGATAATTAATAATATTCGGATATGTAGGTATGTATTTAAATATTAGATATATAGATTAACCGACTATTGTGTTTTACTTTGTAAAAATTTTATTAAAAATGTTTTTGATTTCGTTGTTTTCTTTTTTTTTGGTCAATTAAATGAGAAGAAACAAAAAAAAAAGATATATAAATACAAAGCTAGCTCGTTTGAAATATAACAAAAGTGACGTTGTCTCACGTAAAGCTCCTGGGACTTGCGAAGTAACTTCAGAAATACTATCTTCTCGTTTTCTTTCTCTTTCTCTTTCTCTTTCTTTCTTTCTTTCTTTCTCTCTCTCTCTCTCTCTCTCTCTCTCTCTCTCTCTCTCTCAACCGTCGTACGTCACTTTAAATTCCCAACGTAGTTTATTTCCTAGGAAAACACGAAACGCGTTTGCATCGAAGTAAGAAAGAGAAACAGAGTAAAAGAGAGTTTTATCGTTTCAACGTTTATGCACTCGTAGTTTCTTTTTATATTCCTGTTAGTAGAAATGAAAACTCGAGAGATTCGTAAGTGGAAAAAAAAAAAAAGGAAAAGAAAATAAAGTAAAAAAAAGTTTTCAGTGGATTTTTTCTTTTGACTATTTTGCTTGCGATCGTGCGTAAAATCGTATCGTAGACATGCAAAATAGAAATAATAAAAGTACTTGGAAAGAGAGAGAGAGAGAGAGAGAATGGAAAAAAAGAAAAAAAATAGTACATAAGCTCACTTACCTTGCCAACTCCGGTAAGCTCCTTGACTCCTATCCTCCTGAGAAGGGCCGGTGGTGCCGGAGGCGGTGATTTGAGAAGCAATGCGGCGTATCCATTAGGAAAGATTAGTTGCTCTTCTGGTCCGATGTTTTCGTCACCCGAACGTCGTCGACGATGGGGACTCGACGACAGGTTTAACTTCTGTGCGGCTCTGCTTAAACGAAAAAAACAAATTATTAGATTTATATCGATTCACACACATTAAGAAAATCGATATATTATAATAAAAAATATTCAGAGTTGTTATGATAAATGAAAAAGAAAACACGTGCCGTGGAGCAGCAGTTCGATACGAAAGCCCGTCTACTCTGCTCGAAGGTAAATAACATACTGACAAAAGAACGTATAGGATAAACAGAACGCGTTTTTGCATTTTCTCTTTCTCTCTTTCTCCCTGCGGAATATGTAAACAAACACTTTTAAATACAATTACGAAGGAACGTAATGGATATATTGAATTTTATATAATATATAAAATATAATTAAAATTTGTTCCATTATTTTAATAATAATAATCGAAGAAAAAGTCATTATTATGATCAACTAGGCTATTAAATTTAAAAGTAAACATTATGTATATATAAAGTAAATAATTATGGCCATTAAAGCTAACACACATTATGGTATTATTAAAAGGATAAAAGTAGACGACAAAAATAATAAAAAATGTTAATATACGTTTCGATCCGTTCGTACCATTCGACGAAGATAAATAGACATAGTTCGAAGATAAATAACATACTATTGTAAAAATCTATAACGATAACATATATCTTTACTTAACGGTATATGAGTGTGTAAACAAACGGATTTTAAATACGATTCAAAAATATAATACTTCGTAATAATAATAATAATAATAATACGCGAATAAAAATAAATTAATTTCATTATTGAGAAATAATTACAACAACCAATCAAAATATTAATACCAATTATTATTAAATATTTAAAACATTTGTAACATATAAATGACTGTCATTATTCTATCTAAACTCAACATGGTAACATTTGATGATACGTTAACGAGAACACGGCACCATCCTCATATACGTAGTTTTCTCATCGTAGAGCCTGGATGAGCTAGCAAGAAAGCGATAAAAGGAAATTAAGGTGACTCAGACGATGTCTTACGTGGATTAAACGCACGACTTACTCTCTCGAATCTCTACCTTCACTTACACCTGTACATATAGATATACCTGTATATATCGAAGATAGTAGAGTATCTTGTACCCGTCTCTTCTGGTCGCTAACGAGTGAAACAGAGAGAAAGAGAGAGAGATTATGTGTGTGTGTGTGTGTGTGTGTCTAGGATTCCGGAAGGTATGTGTCTCGAGGGTGACTGGGTGACATACTCCGCAGGGTGGCCCGGTAATCAGCGAAGGTAATGTGCCGGAACTCGGAGCAGTCCGGGGTACCGGCGCGTTTAAAGGGGTGCCTTCAACGTAGAGGGGATGAACCGAGAGGGTGGGAAGAAGGGGAAGAGGAGGGAGGGCTCGTGGAGACTCGGTTTCGGCGACCCTAACTCCACCACCCCGCGGGCCTCGTTAACCCACGCTCTGTGAAATTGGAAATACCAACGATCTCTCCCTCTCTATCCCTCCTTCCTTCTTCTCTCTCTCTCTCTTTCTTTCTCCCTTTCTCTCTCTCTCTCTCATTCACTCACTCACTCACTCACTCGTTCCATTATTTCTCTATCTTTCTCTATCTTTCTCGCTTCTTCTCTCTCGCACTTTTTGTCTCTGTCTACCTGTCTCTCTTCCACCGTCCGTCCGTTTGTCTGTTTCTCTTTTTCCATCTCTGTCTGTATGCCTATCCGTTTGTCTGTCTGCCTCTCTTACCGAACGAAAACGTACATAGGAATACGTCGAGCGTCATAAAAAATAGATGGGTGAAAATAGAAGGGTCCAGTTATCAACGTGTATCCTGTTTGCTTTATACCGCTCGATTTCTGCTTTAACGAATAATCCATATACGTTCGATGACTTCTTTTTTTTTTCTTTTTATAAAAAGTATTGTATGATTCAGTATAGATAATTAAGAACTAAAATAATAAACAATTTTTTCTTTCTTTTTAAACTGTCTATATATATATATGTATATGTAAGGAAATAATAGACTTTAAAATTTTTAATTTTGAAGGATTGTTCCAAAGATATATATATATATATATATATATTTGATAATTGTTATCTTAACAATAAGATAATTAGGAATAGTAATTTAATTACTTTGCAATAACAACGTCGGCTTTCTGTGTTTGCTTTAATTATTAGGAGAGTCCTTTTCTCGAGCTAAGCGAATCCTTCTAGAGAATTGGATACACTTTCTCCGAGTTTATGGTACGAGACTTTAACGGAAGAATTACGCGCGGTTATTTGCTCCTTTCCCGAAAAAAAAGGAAGAAAGAAAATAAAGAAAAAGAATCGTGGGACTTCGTAACTACACGCGAATATCAATCCTTAATTCAGTTCACTATTTTTTCAATAAACGTTCTAGGATTTTTTCCAGAATTATCCTTGAACATTTTTTTCTCATAAATTCGATGACCTGTAACGTATGAAGAAGAAGAAGAAGAAGAAGAAAAAAAGAGCATGTCCTCTTTTTAATTACGTTTTGTTTTCTTTTATTTTACGAGTGCGTTAACAATCTTGTTTAATACTGAAAAATATTCGGGTAATGAGAAACCACGTTCTTTCTAAAGAACAAAAAATGTATATACATATACGACTTTGCAAACGGCCAGACCAACAAGAGTCAACAACAAGTCACGTCTAGGTTGGAATATACATAACCTACGACGACGAATATCGTACATAATTAATGGATCTTGCAATGCTGTAAACAGGTGCATGAGAAATTTCATCTGACCGTATTTATTTGACTCACAGTGAAAGAAAAAGGGACGTACTTTTAATAAGAGAAGAAAAAGTAACGAAGGAGACGAACGAGCAAATGACAGTACGAATAACGAAGCGTATATCGTGAATAAAAATCAAAATTAACGGGAATATTTGGAATTGGTCGAAACGAATTTTTAATTGAACAAATAAAAAAAATAAAAAAATCAAATGAATCTCGCGAGTATTTTCGCGATAAATTAAAAAGACGATTTTCACCGTCATAACGAAATTCCAATATCCGAGAATTCTGCTCTATCGGGATTGAAAGATAAATCCTTTCTTTTTACTTTTACAACATGTGTTTTCGGAAACGCGAAAGAATCGATTCCTCTTGAAACGGAGGGTATATTACCGGGGACACAGGTGCGTGTCGCAGAAACGTAATTTACGCATCAATCACGAGGAACAGATGCGTAGTACTTCCCACACGCTTTCTCTCTCTCTCTTTCTTTCTCTGTTTCGCTCCAATCTCAAGGAAAATGAGGAGTACCTTCTTGCCTACTCGAGTATTCTTCGCCATTTCATAAACAATGCTGAAAAGATCCCAAGGGTATTGACGATAGTAATACTTTCAAATTCCGTGCAGCTTTTAAATAATGAATCTTTGAAGATAAACGAAAAAAATGTCGTAATAAAATGTCTATTAGAATTGTGCTAGAAAATTTGTATATACAAATGCAATAATAATCGAAGAAAAGAAATTTCTTCTTTAGAAAGGAAATTCTCATAAAATATCCCTCCCCCCTCCCCTATAACGAGTTACATATAAGAAATTATTGACGAAACACGTTCTATCATAAAAATAGAAAGTGAACTTCGAGATAATAACATTTACAGTTAACTCGATAAATTATCTCCCCACGTTCCTTACAATATCCAATTTAAATCATGAAAAAATAATTATATGATAATAATAATGATGATGATGATTATTTTTATTATTATTATTATTATTATGAAACAGCAAAGGTAAGGTATAACGATACACTGAAACGTCATTAATCACGGCTCGATGACGTGCCTCGTTCACATAACTCGGCTCCGTAATCAGAAGAACAAGAAAATGAGAAAAAAAAAGGGATAGATAACGATCTATTACGAATCCACTAGTACTCCAAATAAATGATAAAAAAGAAAAAGGAAGAAAAAAACATAAAATAATTATTCACTCGCATGTATTTTAAGTATATACTTATATATACAATGCAATACAATAAACACATTAGAAATAGCACACGAAATCGATCATTTAGAAGTTTATCATCATATCATGTTAATTTTTCTTTCTTTTATCGACGTTTCCTTTCTATTTGGTATTTTACGAAGTAATAAAAGTATCGGAGAAGAGTACCATAGCCAGAAGATATCTCTCTCTCTCTCTCTCTTTCTCGTTCGTTCGCTCGTTCGCTCGTAATTCGCGCGGAAATTACACGCTTAATTCGCGATGTTATTTACGAGCGAGCGGACACACTCGTGCCCTCGCCCTATGATTCACTCTCTCACTCACTCTCTCTCTCTCTCTCTTTTTTTCTCTTCCATTCTTCACTATTTTTCCCTCTCTCTCTCTCTCTCTCTCTCTCTTTCTCTCATACATACACCCTTCTTGGCAACTCGCCACGTATCTCGGCTTAATCAAGGAAATTATGGTGCGAAACGCTTTAAACGTCGGGGGCCGTTAGCGAGGTAGCATATCTCTTGTTGTGACACGTCTAATAGCGGCAACGCAAGCGCCAAATAAAAACTTTCTGCGATCCTAGTATGCAAGATCTTTATTACATGAACGAGAGAACGAAAGAGTATATGCTCTTTCTCCTCTCCCCCAGGCCCCATAAGTTTATGTTATATGCACGTACTTGCTCGCACGCACAGTTTCAAATCGATTTTTACGATAGAAACTCATATTTCCTCTTTGTTTTTCGTAAAGACTACAACACAATCGATAATAAAAAAAAGTATCTCTCTTTAAAGAGTTGATCTAAAGAAAAAAAAATTGTCGTGATCACTAATCGATTTATTGTTAGAGAACACCACACACACAATGTTTCTAGTATATTCTAGTGGAATGGTACTTACTCGATAACTCGTAACAGAAAGGATCTCTTCCGTTTTCGATCGTAATGTTGTTCATGCGAGTAACAACTGCTCGCTCGAGTTACCTTCGGTAAACTTTGCTATCTCGTTTACGCGGTTCTTCTTTCTTTTCTCTCTCTCTCTCTCTCTCTCTCTCTCTCTCTCTCTGTTTCTC